AGGAAACAAGTGATCTGGATTCTAGACGCTAACACGCGTGCTATTGTTCACAAATACAACAGACATGGATAACTGAAACTTTAAATTCTCAGTAACTCCCTATTCATTATGAAGCAAGGTTACAAAATGCCAAGAAATGTATTTTTGAAAATGCAGCAATCTTTTGCCACGAATTTTAAATCACAGCTGAGGAGGCTACATGCATTTGTATCTTTTTTTCAGCATTCTTCATCGCCTCAAATCTTTTTCTCCAGTTTTTTTTTTAATATAATTATTATTCATATAATTCAAGGGCTCGTTTAATTCGTCGTGAGCTGTTGGTTTATCTTCATGGCACGTCCAGTTTTGATTAACCGCATAGACACCTACCAATTGCAAGTGTTAATTGGTTCTCTTCATTGATGACAAGAAATGATAGCGCCTCTTTAGAATACATGCTGCAAATTTTTTCTGGGGCCAAAGCTCACAATGCACTAAACACCTCACTAAAGAATATTATTTTGCATGCACTTATACCACAGATTCTAAAGGTTTACAATTTAGTGTACCTGAAACTTTTTAAGAGCTTGCAACATCCACAAGCTACATTGTTCTTCATGTAAATTGGCCAACCATAAGCAGACAGTGCATAGTTCATGTAGTATACAACATCCTTGAATAGAAGCAGTTCTTTCTAAAAGTGAAATTGTGGCAGAAGAGCAAAGCTATCAGTGAAAGAGCTCTGAAATAATTCTAAGGCAAAAGGGATGAGTCACAGTATACATGTATGTATTGCAGTCATGCTTCACAATGTCTGAAAACTGGCCTCTCACTAGCAAACTCACACAAGAAACAAGGGAATATTTTGGGGCATTATACATAATGATTGTACAAACTGAGATAAAATAAGAGGCTGAATTGAGAAGGAAATTTAAAAATTGCACTTCAACTACACGTGTAAGAATAACAAATGTGGCCCTGAAGAAAAACATTCTGTTTTCAATGTTTGTGGGTTTTGGGACAGTTCTGCTCTATAAGAGTTACTTTTTCATTCCCACAAAAACAAGGCTTTGACTCATTTTTAGGGTGCAGATAATTTTGCCAATTTTGCTGTAAAGTGTTACAAGCATTAATTCTAATATTTCTCCTGATCCCCTGACTACAGCATTGCTCTTTTTTACAAAGTAACATACTCTTAGACAAACAAGACTCCTCACCTTGTTTTTGAGGTTCAGTGCTCTTGAGGTGTTTGTTCTTTGAAAGCGAAGTGATGACTTTTTGACACCTTTCTGCAAATCACAAGACCAATTTTAAAAAGGAGCATCAAATATGATTCATACACTGTGCTCAGTGTATCAGTGTATCATAGTCAATTAGTAATATTCGAGAGACATATGCATACAATGTAACTTTTCACAATTAAAAAACAAATCTTGTCAAAGGGTGATTGGAACAGAAAAGTTTATCAGCCAGATGGTGTCATCTACACAGAACACCAAACAACTCTTTCTTATTTACATGCAGGATGTAATGACATTTAGAAGCCTTAAAGCTAACTTACAGTATCATATGGGCTAGCTGTATTAAGTCTCTACAGAATGAATCTTCCCATCTCTTTTACAAGTCAATTATATTATCTCCCAATCTGAAATAACTTTGGGTCAAGTCCTTATCTAACATTCTGTACTGTGACAACATTTTCCAAAATGTTTCTGCTCATTGCTCATCCCAAATTAAGTCACATGCTTTATTACATTGTGGAGGCGCAGTGGCCTCATGGTTAGTGTGCTAGACTCCGGATCGAGTGCTCCGGGTTCTAGCCCCAGCCAGGACATTGTGTTGTGTTCTTAGGCAAGACACCTTACTCTCACAGTGCCTCTCTTCACCCAGGTGTATAAATGGGTACCGGCAATTTAATGCTGGGGGTAACCCTGCGATGGACTAGTATCCCATCCAGGGGGAGCAGAAATACTCCTAGTCGCTTCATGCGCTGAGAAGTGGGGAATAGGGTCACTAATGGGCCACTAGGCTCGTAAACAGACTTTACCTTTTTTTTTTTATTACATTGTACACGTATCTTGCATCTTACACATACATCAGTGTAGTTTGTTAAAGAAAAACTGAATATTGTTTTCAAAGTATTCTTGAAGGTTAGGATCAGAATAGCCAGAATATTGTAGTGGAAAATGACACAAAAGGAACAATGTCCAAAACTTCAAGAAATAAAGCAATCTTTGCAGTCTCTCAATAAACAGGTGATTTATAGCAATCATTAGAGGATAAACAAATGGATATTCTGTTAACTAAGTGTAAATCTACAACATGAACAGTATATTTGTCAAACCAGTTATAGAAACACACCTGAGAATCTAGAACTTGCTGTTGCTCAATTGCCTCCATTAGGGCATAGTGTTCTTGTTGCTTCTGATACTTTCGTAGCAAAACAAGTCCAGCTGCAAAGTCTGATGGAACAACATCCAAATCTTGAAAATATTCTGCAAGATTCCTGATATCAAAAGAGAAACACATCATGTGACAGAAGTAATCAAGTCAAATTATAAAATAAAAATTTCTTTTATTAATGTTTACAATGCAAGCTCCATAAAATAATAACTTAGGGTAAATTGATAGATTTATATACCTTCCAATAAAGGTGAAGACATTATCATCTCCTTGTCCAACTCCTGAGCAACAAAAACATCGCTTGAAGCATCCTTCCCAACGCTTTTCATATTTGCGCATGATGTGGTTACCATAGCTAACTGAAGCATCTATATCATCTCCTGTTAGCTGTGCCTCATTGAAATTAACCCACATTTTCCCGGCAGAGTCAAATATACAATATATAATAATAATAACCGTAAATAAAAACAGCCAGTTGAAAATGACAACTGCTCTTGAAATGTATATCTCATGAGTCAATTCACATGTTGTACCATCAAGAAATATCCATTTTATTCCTATCGACAGCCATAAGACTTCCAAGATAGCAAGGACAAGACGAACATAAAGAAGTTGTGGTATTAGATTTCGTGGCTCAGTGTCCATTATGGACCCCTTTCCACTCATCCAAGCAACAGAAAATTCCATAATATTTGTTGCAAAAAGAATGGCTAAGTAGCCTCCCATAAAATAATCTAGCGTCTGTTCACAAATATGCTTGTCTTCTTGGTCAGCTTGGTGCAGGTGATAAAACCCATGATAGATACCAACAGCTATTGACAATATGATCATCCTGAAAATAAGGTAAAAGAAAGTTTACCAGATATCTACAGGCAGCCAAATTCAATTTCTCAACAATAAATGAGAATTGGAACTGGTGGGTGTTAATCATGCATGCACAAGGAAGGTTTCCATGGAAACCCTGAAAGCTACAACCACCAAAGACAAGTTACACTGCACTATGTAGCTCAGGTAATTCATACTGTAACCAGAGGGAAGATGGACAAAATGACCTTACTCACAGGCCAGCTTAAAGCAAGTAAAATAATGTACAGCTAAAGGGCTTTTTCTCTCTATCTTTGGTTTTCACATGATGTCATCAAAATCATAAAAATAAGAAATTATCAAAATAATGCTTTTGAGATTTAAGTTACTTATTAGAAGAGCTGAAGACTTATTTTTTAAAAATTTTCAGTTTAATAGGGTTTTTCATCTTGTGATAAAGAAAGGTTTGATTTCTAAGCATTAGTGTGACACAATATTCTAATGATGTCTGAGAATGCTGTCATGTAGATTAAAAAAAGTAACTTATCCACTGAGATTTGGCAGTCTGAACAGTTCTTGTATACAAGTAGTCCTATAGATGTTTGTGAGCCCTCCATCAGCAGAAGACTACAGGCTTTTTATAGTAAAATTCTATGACATAAAATTATGTTTGTGTTAGCTCAGAGGGAAACAAACTTGGCATCTCCATACTTGGCATCTCCTTATAAATTTGGGCAAAACATTTGTGCGAATATCTCTCACATGAAACATCACACGGACCCAAATGTTCACAAGACTGTCTGAACATTCAACTTCTTTTATCTCTTTGATTCTTGACTCAACTTGTTGAATGATTTTGATGATGATGTTACAGTGAAGACCAACAATACATACAAATGACCAACCAAAAATGTCATAAGTTAACCAACATGCAACCATTAATTTGCTGAGAGTTTATTGACCTGAACCAAACAAAAAAGTAAGTAAGGGAAGGTCTTACTAATTTCAATCACATTTTTTTCCCTTAACAACAATAAATGTGTTTATATTCAAAATTATATTGTTATTGACATGTAAAAAATATAAAATTGTAGACTCCATTGTAAATAGATTTTAGCACTTAATAAAGAGGCCCAAAATACTTGTAATCACGAACAATTGTAATTCAGTTCCCCTAGCTGTTATATTTTTGGTCCCTATGGTGAATTGAACACAATTTTTGTACTCTAAATTTGCAGCAAATGTCACCAACTTGGCAACCAGTGAAGGAAACTGTTATTTCATTATTACTTTGCATTTATGGTCCAAAAATAAATTTATTTGTTCATTGACATTTGATATAAATTAATCCTAACTCCTGATTAAAGAAAACAAAAATGCCCAAGCAAATTTTGAAAAGCAATGATTTCAAGCATTAGCCCTCTGTCAAAGCATTTTGTGCAACATACATAGAGCTTCCTTTTATGCCCTTAAAAAAAAAAAAAAAAAAAGATTGGTTGGGAACCATTCTCAATAGAGATTTCATTGTCTCAAACCACAACCCTCTCATTCTCACATGTACATGTATATCTGTTGTGAACATATTGTAAATGTCAACATCAACTTATCCTGGAAATTACTATGTGACAAAGAATCCTGAGGATCAAAAGTTAATTATGTGTCAACTAAGTGAAACATGAAGCATTGTATCAAGCAGACACTCACTAGATTCAAGCTAAGTCTTATCAAGACAGGTTATCCATTTGGTACAAAGTTCTTCGTGAAGTCTGGTCTGCTATGAGGGGCCGTAAGGGGGTTTCAAGTGAAACGTGATTGGACTAATTTATTTTCTGTGATCCGTTATCTAAAAGTTTTAAAATTCGTGAACCGTGAATGATATGATTGTCGTGATATGTGAAACAGAGAAATAATTTTCTGATACCCGTGATAACAATCACGAAAATGACCCTTTTTCCGTGAACGGCTACGAAGACCCCACAAAGGAACTCTCCAGGAGATTGCCGTGTCTGTTTTCTTCAGCCTGCGTGGCCAAACAATAGGGTTTCGCATGACCCGTTGATTAAAAAATAAAGCTGATCTACCTTTGACACCAACGATCCGGTCTTCAGATTATTCATTGTCTGATGTCGTCTTCATTTCTCACGACCCACAATGTCAAAGAGCAAAGTCAGCGAAGAGCTGTTTCGTGTTTTAGAAGGGGTTGTCTACTTCGTTGGTCCCAAATCTCCTGGATCTTTCAGTTTTCTTGGGGGAAAGGAAAGGATCAGAATTCCCCTGAAAAGAGAACATAATGCCCTTGACGCCCTGAAAAGGCATATTGTTGAACACGCGGGCCTCAAGGCCGAAGCTGAGAAGTGGGGAATAGGGTCATCTATTGATCTTAAGCTGTGCAGACTAGCCAAAGGCGCAGAAGGCAGTAAAACTTTCTCAATCAATACACAAGCGCAGTGGAACATGAAAAGGCCACTTTTTGTTGATTCTGCAGTTTTACAAGGTTAGTGTTTTCATCATGAAAATTTGATAAGAGATCATACTTTATGACACGTGTTACTTGAAAGTCACGTGTGAAAGGTATCTGATATCCATACTTTCATGTTAATATTTTTAATTCGTATTAATTTCTTACATCTCTTAGGGCCTGTTTACATGGAGATAGGGTGACCCCCTTAGGAGAGTCACCCTTGTAGAAGGAGCAAAAGATAGCCCCCCTTTATATGCAAAGTCTTGTCCCCAGGGCTATCGCCATTATTGAATTTGGCACCGAGGGAGATAACTGCGCGGTCACTAAGTACAAAACAACCAAAATGGCGGACAAACGAAGTATTTTGGCGGTAAATTAAATTTTCCTTGCGCTTGCCTCTTTGACTGCGGTTTTTCAGTGCTGCGGGTTCTTGCTGTCGTATCCCCTAATAGAAAAACGCCGACAAGAGTGAATGGCGCACAGGTAGCCGCCCAGTACAATGTTGCAATGCGACGAATGAGGCATGTACGAAGGAGAGTCATTTTGTCGCCGAGGGAGAATTTGGCGGAATCCTGGTCACACAGAGCAGTGGCGATGGACGCTTTTTGTTTTCCCTGTGAATTCTTTGATTTTTCACGTGGCAAGCCTTCTTCCATATCTTTCCAGGTCGAGCGGCTTTCTATGGTACTCTCGTCGACCACTAATTCATGATCATCTATGTCTTTTTACGAAATGTTGACACTGTTGTCCTCCAACTGTTTGGAACTCTGTTCAAACAATTTGGCCACCACAGAACGGTGAAAATATTCCTTGGGCTTATATGCACACAAAGCCATTAAAGAGTTTTGCGGCAATCTGACAGTAAACTGAACCCACAAAAGTTGACCCTTCTAGGAGGGTGACCCTACCTCAAGTGTTTACATGCCAAAAAGTTGGCCTTCGCGGGAGGGTTACCCCACCAAGCAGATAGGGTGACCCTACCTCTCATGTAAATCAAGCCGGAAAATACAATAGGCAAGGGTTACCCTTCTAAGAGGGTGCCCCTTCTAGAAGGGTCACCCTATCTCCATGTAAACAGGCCCTTACAATACTAGAAGTCTAGAAAAGTTTTATTCAGTCCCCCCTACATATTTTATTTGAAGTTTGCTTAAGAATCGACAATTTTCTCAGAAATTATACAGAAAGTGAGTCATTGATGAGAGCCGTGATTTCGGTTAGGGTCGTTAGAGGCGATATTCAACACACCTCCTGAGATATTTCTTGATGATCCTTGATCGCTCGCTTTGCAAAAAGGGCGTGTTGACAATAATGAGAAGACCTGAGAATAGGAACAACCTAGGAAGACTAGGAAGAGAATATTCGGACAGATTTTTTTCTCGATTAAACGCAACTTAAATTTAATTTTTATGGACTACGAAAGAGACTGGAGTGGGGTTTGAAACTGCCAAGAAAAAATGACACCAATATAAATGTCAAAGTAGATAGACAAAAGATAAAAAGGACGTAGTCAAAAGATTATTATTTGATTAATTAATTTTATTGTCATTATTTTCTTTCAGTCAATGTTCTTAAAAAGGAAATCGTCTTTTCGAAAGATTCCCCGGTGATAAATATCACAGTTGCTGGTGGCGAAGAACAGCAAAAGAGCAAAGTCAGCAAACGAAAGCCAAGAGGTGGAAGGAAAAGGTCAGCTTCAAAGGTAGAGGACGACCACCTTGTAAAGCGCCTAAAACAGGGCGAAATTCAGTGTACTCGCTTTACTTG